GAAAGTTGAGACGAAAGCAGAAGACAGAACATTGCTAGATAGAAGGAAAAGAGATGGAAGGAGACAATTTAAAGAGAAGGAAATTTTCCCGTCGCTATCCGGATTCGAACCCGGGACCTTTGAATGAGGGGCGAACACCGTAACCCCCAGGCCTCCTCTGTAGAGGCTTGCTGAGTGCGTGGTGTGGGCGGGGTTTTTGCTGTCCCAGACAACACGACCAACACAGCCCCCCCCCTGTAAAACTGTTAAAAATAAATAATTGTTGAACATAAGCAAAATAAGAGCTAGAGAGTACCTTGAGCTTTGCCCCGCCGACTCGACCCACGCTGTGGCTAAGTAGAAGATTCCTCTGTGCCGTGCTCATGGGTGGCAGGGACTGTCTGTTCTGTGGGCTTCTGAGGCTGAGGGAGGAGGGAGGGGACAGGGAGGAGGAGGAGGGGGGAGGGACACCACCGTTTGCTGCTGTTGCTGCTGCTGTTGTTGTTGTAGCAGCGTCCCCGGCTGACCAGTCCTGTGAGCCGTCGGAGACCGGGCTGTGGGGCGTGGGTTCGAGTCTGAAGGGGTAGAGGAGGCCTCGCGATGAGGTACCTTCGGGGGAATCGGCGCTGTAATGTCGGCGTCGCTGTTTCGATGGGGATGATGATGATGATAGGTCGTTGTCGTTGTCGTCGTCTTCGTGCCGTATCGTTATCGAGGGCACCTCAAGGCTCTGACTGCGGGGTTGGTCCTGTTGACCCAGTTTTGATTTCTGCGAGTCTTTGAGAGACGAGGTCACCCCGTTGTGACGAGCTCCCAGACTCATGGTGGATTTGAGAGGCGCTCTGTTGTGTGGTTTCTTCGACTGGGGGGCCTTGGGTGAGCTCTTTTTGTCCTGCTGGTAGTTGTGGTTGTGGTGGTGGTGGCTGCCTGCGGAGTTGTCCGACTTGTTGATCATCACCTCTACTTCAACCTGGGCTGGGTGGAGGTTGGGAGGGTGGCCGGTGGGTGTCCGAGACGGACTCTCGTCCATTTTAGGCTGTCTCTGCAGGTAGGGTTTGCTGCTGCTAGTGTTAGTGTTATTGTTAGTGTTAGTGTTAAAGCCGGCAGTTGCGCTGATCTCAAGCCCCGGCCGCGAGGCGCCGCAGCTGCTGCTGGTGTTGTTGGTGTTGTTGTTGGCGTGCTGAGTGGTGCGGGCGGGGTCTTTGCTGTCCCGAGTTGTCTGCTCCACGACCAGCACAGCCGTGTTCTCGTTGTTCTGGGGCGTGTAGCTACTGTTGGAATAGCCGGCCACTGTGGGCGGCACAGGGGAGTTCTGGCTACTGGTGGAATGGCCGGCGCCTGCAGG